AGGTCGCAGGGATGGGATCAGGAGAGGGGGAGAGAGATGAGAAGCGGCGCATGCCCGCAGAGATGCGCTTTGCAGGCCTTGGAGGATCTGTTGGGAGCAGAACCGTGCCGGGGATGGGTGCTGAGCAGTTACAGCGTGGGGGGAATAGCAGGAGGAGGGGGCTAGTGTGCTAGCTGCGTACCGTGCGTGTTGGTATTTAGCTCTAATATAGTATAAAGTTAAATCTACATGCTACATGAATGCAACAATATTAATCAGGCTGCTGTTCATAGTGTAATAGTACTCATGTTACTCAAGATCTGTCACCCGCATAGATGAAGGCATGTTTGAAGTTTCTGTGTCTCTGCCCTAACAGAGCACTTCCATATGCAGTCAGAATCTTTGATAAAACCCTTGATGCTAACAATTTCACACCAGCACTACCGAGTTCGCCTTGAGGTAATCCAGGCTACCGGAGCAGTGATACAGTTTGGAAATGGAAAGTCTGTAGATGATGTTCTGTCTCATCTGGCCCAGAGATTATTTGATGAGATTCCCAAGGTGTGTTTCTCTTCTCATTGTTTTCTGGATCTATTTTAAATCTGTTTCCGGTTGGGTTTTTTGGTGTTTCCTCACACCTTCGCCCCCCAATTTTCAGCTTGCATTCATTCAGATGAGGTATGTAAATATGTCGCATACAGGCTTTGTCAGTTGTAAGCTATCCAAAACCAAGATTGGTGACCTATTCAGCTGCTGTCTTAATTCTGCAGGCTGTTGAAGTTTGTAGGCACCTTTTCATTTTAACGGGTGCCTTCAATTCTGTCTTAAATTATTCTGTCAAATCTCTCTGTGACTTTATTCTATGGCCTTTTCAGATGCTTAGCAAACACTTATGGTATTGGTTGCTTCATAAGATGTAATTGAGGCAGTAGTTTTAAAATGTGCAACTTAGTCATAATGAAAATACTATAATTTTCGAGTGGGTGTATTCATATTATTTAACTTAGATTGCCTTTATAGCGAACAGCGAAAATTGTCTTCTGGAGATGTGCTTGGAAAGCTTCACATTCCAGAAAAATGTACATTTCTTACATTCTCAGAGAGATATTAACTATGAGAATTTAGTTTTCCAAGTTAGGTCTGTATCTTGCCTTCCTCTTGGAGATGTACTTTTGTGCAGCAAATAGTCTAAGACTAACTAAGCCAGAGTGAGAACACAAGAGGGAGCATGATACCTTGCATGTTACTGAAGATGCTTGCTGCAAGTGAGGAAATCCTGGGTTCTTGTAGCTTCTTCTGAGACTATTGATGCAGTTTACCAAGTCTTATATACTGAAAGCAAATATTAT